AGTCTCACGGTCTCTCCTGCCCGGGCTGGCTTTGAACCGCGATCCTCAGATCTCAGCCTCCTGAGTAGCTAGGATTACAGGTGTGAGCCACTAACGCCCGGCTGGAGCCAATATTTTAAGTAAGAATTGGTGTCATTACTGGGGCTTGAACCTAATTAGGGCCTTATGATCTTGCTTGGCTTTTCTGCTCAAGGCTGGCATTCTACCACTGGAGGTATACCACCATTTCCAAAATAAAAAATTTTTGAACAGCAATTTGATACTTAGTTTTATATAGTAAATGATATACTAGTGAAGTGTCTTGTTCAATATCCATAGAGTTTCCAGATGATGACAGAAATGATTCAAAGTCTATATAGAATATGAGGAGAATTGATGCTTGCTTTCCTCCTTAAAAATAACATGCTCCAGTGTCTACAGTTTATTTTTTTTACTCAACAGTCCCATAGCTGGTACTGGTAACTGCTATCAACCTCACTTCAGGAATTTATACCTCGATGGCATGAAATTCCTAAGTACATGACTGTCATCTCCAGCAGGCAGATGCTTCATATTAAATACCGGTACTTATTTCTAAGCAGAAAATCCTAAATGAAACTCATATATACAGAATATTATCATAGCAAATTTAGAAGAAAAAAAAAGAACAGACTCATGGGCAATCATTTAAAAAATATACCATTTCAAAAATATTTTGTGGGGGCTGGGAAGGTGGCTCAGTGGTAGAGCGCTTGCCTTGCATGCCTGAGGCCCTGAGTTCAATTCCTCAGCACCACATAAGCAAAAAGAAAAAAGCCGGAAGTGGAGCTGTGGCTCAAGTGGTAGAGTGCTAGCCTTGAGCTGAAGAGCTGAGGGACAGCGCCCAGGCCCAGAGTTCAGGCCCCACGACCGGACCCCAAAAAAAAACAAAAAACAAAATATCTTGTGGGTATTACATAAGACATCCTTCACTCTGAAAACCAATTCCATGTGCACATGCATGTGTGTGTGCGCGTGCCCGAGCATGCACATCAGTAACAGAAACTGAACTCAAGGCCTTGAGCCGTCAGTTGTTTAACCTTTTTGGCTCAAGACTGGCACTCTACTGCTCAAGCCAGACCACCACTTCCAGCTTTTGCTGGTTAACTGGAGATAAGAGTCTCACCACGGCTGGGAATGTGGCTCAGTGGTAGAGTGCTTGCCTTGCATGCATGGAGACCTGGGTTCAATTCATCAGCACCCATAAGCAGAAAAAGCCAGAAGTGGTGCTGTGGCTCAAGTGGTAGAGCGCTAGCCTTGAGCTGAAGAGCTGAGGGACAGCGCCTAGGCCCAGAGTTCAGGCCCC